GTCCGACACCGAGGGTCCGACACCGAGGGCCCGACACCGAGGGCCCCATATCAGGTCCGATACTGAGGGCCCCGTATCAGGTCCGACACCGAGGGTCCAACACCGAGGGCCCGACACCGAGGGCCCGACACCGAGGGTCCGATACCGAGGGACCCACATCGCTACACTCTGAGAATCCTGACAGGACACGTCTGGGATCTGTTTCCATGGCGTTTCACCCTTTACATGTGATCCCTAAGAATTCCTCCCTGATCCACCCCCTAATTCAGACAGTATAAGCAAGACAGCTGAGAGTGAACCCCAGCTTCACAGCGTTGAACGGTATCCGCTAAATCCTTCAGAATTTCTACATTTATTAAAGATGAGTAACAACAGCTTCCTCGCGACCCTGTCCAGCCTTTAATCAGGAACTATCACTCCTGTCTACCATAAGGGGAAAAGTTACTTGTAGTTTGACACAGCAAGGTGACAGTCATAGTTTAACACGGCCTTGTGCTCTGGCATATACAGACGTGGGCAAAAGTATTAGCGCCTTTCCACTTTTTAAAAACAATTTTCCGTAAAAGAAGTTGAAACTGACAAATGTAACCAAACATCAAACTTCCAAAACATAGTCCATTTTTTTGTTGTTTTTGAGATGAGACAGCCAGTGACCTAAAGTCAGGCGTCCTCGTCATATGTTACAGCATCGGGAACCAAAACTCACTCAGTTCTCATGCAATCCAATGAAGGTCTTTCATTAAATTTCACTCACAGAAATTGTACAACTAAATTTTCTCAGAAACGTATCCCGTGTAGAGGTCAGGAAATCTGTACTTCAATGGCCGTCCACCGTTCTTTATTCCACGTTCCATACAAGACATTTTGCTTTTGATTTATGACTATTATTATACTAATAGTTAACATATTACCAAGTATTGGGATTCTTTTTTAAAAACTGGAAGAGAGCCAGTACTTTTGGCCACATCTGTACATTCATATTTATTTTCTTTCTTGGTTGTTCTCCGAATCCATGTGAGCATCCCACTCTCGAGGGATGCTTCCGATGCCAGTCCCGCCTCCACCGTCCCACCCCCCCCCGCAAAGCCCCACCCACCAGGAAGTCTGTCAGACAAGGTGCCTTCTGCCGAACTGCTGGCAGGTGGCTTTAACGAACCGGGGGAGGCTGGATTTACTAAATAAAGCCTAATTCCTAATCCTTGTTAACAGAGAGCACCGTGGAAATAAAGTATGCAGTCGGAAAATATAAGTCTGTCGTAGGGAAACACTTACGGCCCGTCAGTCTCGGGGGGGAGACAAATTAAACCGCTGATAAAGTGAACAGGAAGCTGCAGAAGTACCCAAATCCATGGTGATCTCAACGGAAAGCACCCCTCGAATCCGAGTCTACTGTTTATAGCAGAGGAGCTTAGTGCTGTAAATACCATTCCTTTCAGAAACAGCACACTGGTCTGAAAAACAAGTTTTCCCACCACAAAAAGCCAGTCCAGGCTCTCCTTAATGCTCGTTTAAGGTTAATTATTTGCCATGACACTGCATTCATTTCCAATCGAGGATATAATCAAGGCCCTCACTCGACATCCATTGATTACTAAGTTATCATTTTAACAATTCTGCATCTTATATCATGAGCTTGCTTACAGACCTCAAAAATATTGTATTTCAATGCTGACTTTTTGTAATTAAAGTACAAAAAAGTGATACTGAGGGCTGTAGCATATAAAAACATTTTACTTACAGCCTGCTTTTTGCTTTTAAAGAATCTCTATGACTACAGAGCAGAAAGGAAGTCTGGGAAATGACGTCAGACGAGGGGGCACTTTAGGTGCTGGGAGCTGTGAGGCTGGGCGGCACCAACATGAGACGGGGCCCCTTGGCACAGGCAGAGGATGCCAGCTCACCAAGTCTGTGGCAAACACGCTAATGCCCACGCCACAATGTGTACAGACAGCTGAGGGGATGGTGCTCGAGGCCTCAGAAGTAAGCTCAGCTGGACCGAGTTTGTCTCGCGTCCCTTACGGACGGCAGTCAGGGCAGCAAACACGTCACATGTGGGTATTAGCCAGGACAGGAGTCTCTGTGCCAAAACCACTACCAGAGCCACGGGCATTAAGTAGCAGAGTCACTCGGGGGAAGCCTGGGGGTTCACACTCTGTATTAGAGAAGATTCTCCAAAAGCAGAGGAAAGCAAAGTGAGGGAGCTGGGCACTGGAGAGCAGACAGGCTTCAGCTCAGCTTCCCAGAGTCCTCTGCTAAAGCAACCTGAAGGGGCTGAATCTGAACCCATGACCTTGAGAAGATGTTCTGAAGACACTTATAAGGAAGGTTAGAGGACAGAGTGAAAATATGGGACAGAAATTATGATTGAAATTATGATGATGATGCTGATGATGATGATGATGATGAATGGCTGGGCACGTTATAGATGGGCTTTCCTGCTTGGAACAGGAAAGAACCCAGCAGGAGGTGACCACATGGCAGACTGGTGCTTGGCAGAGCTCTGACAGACACTCTCTATAATCAAAGACAGGAGCAGCTCCACAGACGGGATTTTCTCTGACTCTACGGGTATGAAAGCTGGACAATGATGCACTAATGATCAGGCTCAGCCTTAATTTCCCAATATTAGGATTAGGAAGATGCAGATGCTCGAGACAAGCAGAAGAGGACAATAAAAGAAGGAAAGCTAAAATAAAATGATCAGATTGGGTTTAGCTTTGGCCTGGATTGAAGTGACCTACATATTAAATTTATTGGCTATAATCAGAAGCTCTGAAAACATTAAGTAAACGTGAATCTACCTGTAATGAAAAGCAAAAAGTGTCTATGTGCTAATCATGACTGAACAGGAGCTAGGAATGAAGATTAAATCACTCATTAAGGTTTCAAATGAAAAATGTTTCAAATTATATCCTTACAGTATTTCATCGCTTTGCTTTAGCTAGTCGAGTATTATGTTTCTTAATTGGGTTTTTCAATTTAATAAAAAAAAAAAGCCCAATGCATTTTGTAAAGTCATGTTTCTTTCCCTTCTGGGGAAATTTGTAATGAATTCTTAAAGTAAGCCAGCCCCTGGCAGTTCCTCGAAGCAGCCAACAGGTGGAGCCCTGCTCCTACATATTGCCAGCAGCTCCTGACAGGAGGGAAGAAAGCAGGTTGTGGAGCACTGGGCATGCTGTTTCTGGGTGGCTCAGATATCCATGTCTCCAGTGCAGTGCTTTTCAAGTTACCGCATTGGGCTGCAGGCAAAAATAAATAAATAAATCAGACCTAAACACGGTGGGGGGTGGAGACAACACAGCTTCCTGACCTGCTTTAATAC